GACCCTCTGTGATGCTCGAGTAAAAAAAAAAAAAAAAAAAGGATACTCTTGTTGCCAGTATGGTGGCACGCACCTATAATCCCAGCACTCAAGAGGCTGAGGCAGAATGATTGTCTCGAGTTTGAGGCCATCATGGGCTACAAAGAGAGGCCCTGTCTCAAACAAACAACCCCAAACCATTGTTAAGAGCTTAGCTGACACTGATTCTCCAAGGTGGAAATAAAAATTATTTGAAAATGCAACTGATGAGGTGATATAACTTTCAGACACTCCTTAGGTTCCCAAATCCTATCCCCATATCCTCTGAGAGGATCTGGCGCAAGAAAAGTTAAACCAGAGGCTGCATAGCACTGTACGAACCTAGGCTCAGAGTACTCCTCATGTTGAATGGTAACCCATCTGCCCCTGCCTGGGGTCCAGGATGGAGGGATTGGGAGTTGGGCGGGCAGACTTATCTTTTACTCCCAGCACCAGGGAGCACCTACAACCCAGCTACCCTGTGTAAACACTCACCATGCCAGCCTGGGCCTGAGAAAGTTCCTCTGGAACTCACTCCACATCAACCATGGTGGAACCAGTGCCCGTTACCCAGAGAGTACACAGGCTGCTCTTCATGTGGCTGCTCTTTCATCTACCCACTTGACCCCACAAGGCTTCTCCAGTACCCCCACCCTGCTGGCATCCCCAGTCAAGGCCAGTAGCTCCTTTGGCTCTGGAAAGGGGTGCTTCTGTCTGCCACTGAGGTTACCTCTGCATCCTGCTCTCCAGCAGGGAGGCCAGCAAAGTTGCTATCTGGAGACTCAGCTGGCATCTCCTGCAAAAGAACAACAAAGGCCAAGGGCACTGTTGGTATGGGCCCTCTTGTAAAGCTGGCACAATAGTAAACCCAAAACCAAGCCTTCCTCAGCACAAAACTGGTGCCAGGAAAGAGTAAGGTGGAAGGGATGCTGTGCTCTCCCCAGTGCCCCTTCCAAGGCCTCCTCCCCCCACCAGGCTTGCAGCCAGCTCTGACTGATCCTTGATGAAGCACTGCTGGCCACGCATACGGGCCCTTCTCTTACCTCCTCTTCTTCTGAGGGGCCTCTGCTTGCTGCCTGGGGGGAAGGGAGGGGCTCTCCCTCCTCTTCAGTGCCAGGGGCGATGTAGGAGCCAGACAAGGAGGAGACTGTGTCGGTGCTGATCTGAGAGGATGCCATGGACATGACGGACTGGGCCAGGCTGCTGCTGGCGGGATCTTCGAGACAGGGGTTGGAGGAAGGAGATAGATCAAGGCTACTGAGGAGTAGAGCTCCTTCCCTGCACTCAGGCCACAAGGAGTACAGTGACTTCATCTTGCTGCCTCGCCCCCAAGGGCTCTAACTTAGTTTCCCAAGATTCTGCTTCTCTATCTCAGAGCTAAAACCTCAGCCTCAAGCCTCAGGGTTTGCTTTTCCTTGTCACAGGACCAGGCCTGAGAGAAGCAACCTTCTAGCCAGGAGCACAAATCCCCCTCCCTCTCCAGCTGGGCCAGGTTAGTCCCCCATTAAGGCGCTGGCATGTGCAGCTGCTCTCTGCTCCCTCATACCTTCTGGGGAGGAAATGGTGGAGGAGAGCGGGGTTCCTGTGCAGGATGACTGGTCCACCGCCCCAGACGAGGACAGGGTGAGGTTCTCACTTTCTGGAGTTTCGCTGCATTCCTAGGGGTGAGGGACACAATGGGACGTGGAGTAGCTCAAATCCAGTGTGTTGGAGGGAGGGGGCAAGAGCAGGGGGCTGGGTAGGGGTGAGGAGGAAAGGAGACACCTGAAGGGACAAGGTCCCTTATTGTAGAGGACTGGAGTGACATGAGAGGCAGCGCTGGCTTCTCTTCTGTCAGCACTCCTCTTCGGTGTGGGTCTGGAGCGACTGTCTCCCAGGGGAGGTGCAAACTTCAGTCAGCACCTCCTGCCTGAGGCCCAGCATCTGCTGGAGCCATACAAAGACTGCAGCTCCAGTGACATAGGTCACCCAGCAGCTGTGACATGGGGACACCCCCGGCTTCCCCAGGATTAAGAACAACTTTTCTTCCAAACCAAAGGCACATAAAACCAGCAGGAGCTCACTCACTCACTGCCTGCTGGCCATTTCCACACGGATGTTGGTTGAATGGAACATACGCAATCAATCTCAAAAAGGAGCCCCCCCAGTCACTCAGGCACAGGGCCTCACCATCCCAGGCAGAAGCAGAGCCCTCCCAACTGTTCTCTACAATCCATTCCTTCTCCAGGCAGGCCTCCTTCATCTTGGTTCAAATGTGGGCCACTGGCCACTTCCTTGCTTCACCTGGCTCCTCCTGACCCAGTCTGCATGCACCTGTGAGGCGGGGCTCTGTGAGGCAGAGTTCTCACTGCATCCCTGCCTGCTCCAACCCTTTACCTGCTTGTTTCCTTCCCCTTCTTCTCATGTCCAGAACATTCCAAGATCCATTTCAAATGCTTCTTCTAATGTATTTTCCTGACTTCCTCCACTGAACAAAAGGTCATGCATCTCTATTATGACATTTTATGGTCTCTGTTTTGGGTGCTCTTATATTCTGTAATTAAAACTCATTCTTTCAAGAAATGGGCAATAACCATGTGCCACATGCTTTCCAGTATTTCAGTCCGTACACTGTCCCACCTAGACCAGGACCCTTGAGGATGGGAAACTTCACTGTCTTTGAATGCCCTGCTGCCCCTGGCTCAATGCCTTCGAGAGAAGCTGGCTAATGCACTTCTGCTAAGTGAAGTCTGTAGACTTCACAGGGTAGAAAGTTTCAGTCTTCTGCCATTCCAGCCACACTGGGCCCCAGGGCTTCCCACCACTCTCCTGTGCCTGGAATTCTTTCCTCAGATTGCTTCATACTTGCTTCTTGTTCTGCTCTCTTCCTGGACCACTGTTTGGATGGAAGTTCCTCTTTCAGCCTCCACACTCCCCCCATCTGACACTCTGATCCACACGGCCTGGCTCATGCACACTTTTCACTTTCATCTTTTGTGTTCACCCCTACCCCAACTCACAAGCACAGCGCACCCAGAGGGGCTGCTGTGCTCTCCTTACTGCTGCTAGCTCAGCACACAGGAGAGCGCCTTGGAACAAACGGGCTTCGTACACCGTGTGAATCACATGTGAATCTCGTGAAGCCTTTGCGGCCACTGCTTGGAAGATGGTAAACAGTGTCTGATGAGTGAACGAGAACAAGTAGGCCTAAGCGATCACCCCCCGGGGAGAAAGAGGAAAGCAAAGCACCTCTCCGGGATACTGAGCAGCTGGTCTCTGAGAGAGCTGAGTCTCTGACTCGCTGCAGGAGCGCTCTTCTTCCTCTTCATGCAGCACAGAAGAATTCTGTGAAATGGATCTGTAAAAGTCCAAGGGGAAGAGTAGCTGTACCCAACATCTACTTAGAGCTTGGAGCTGGTCTGACTCTTCTTACCCAGTTCCACAGGAGGAGGAGGAGGCCACCAGGGGAGTCCCAGGACCTGAGGGGAGGTGAGAAGAGCACCAGAGGAGACAGAGACTCTCTGCTTCTAGCTCCTTCTGGGACTTGCTGCCTGAACTTGAGAAAAGCCATGGACATTCCCAGGCCTCAATACTTCGTCTATAAAACACCCCTCTTCACTCTGGGGCATAATCATGCCCTGAAGGATTTGAACACTTTGGAGATATAGTCACAAGTTTCCTTTTGTCTTCAGAGTAAGCCATGTTCCCCAAGGGTTTGAGAGGCCCTGTCTGTGGTACTCACCTCCTCTTCCCTGTACCTCATTCCCTCCCCACGAACACAGGTGAGGTCTGAGGCGAATTCTCTAAAGTATACATCCCACACATCCCATTTCCATCTTTTAGGGAGGGGAAACTGTCCCCTCAAGGTCCTCTCAGGGCTTCTGTGAGACTGAGCAGTGGTGAACAGTGAAAGGGTCTACGTGCCCTGGGCCCAGGATGCAACCAGCACAAGGAGGGAGCGGCGGGTGGAAAGCTTCTGATCAGGGACCAGGGCCGCACTGCTGAGCCCCGGCCCACTCACTTGGAGAGACTCTTTTTGAGCTTGAGCCCTTGGCTGCTGCAGTCAGACAGGCGGTCGAGGGGGGAGAGTGTCCTGACGGGGGGCAGGTGGCCGTCACTGCCATAAGAAGGCAGCATTCCTGAGAGGTGGCCGTCTCCAAGCACGTGAAGTGGAGGGACCGCTGGCGATGGGGTGAGGGGTCCGTTGAGGGCCTCCAGAAGAGACACCACTTCGTAACCCGGTGGAATATTCTCTGAGGACTAGGGGAATCAGAGAAAGGGTGAAATATTATTTAAGTCCTTTTTGTTTTATGGCATGATCATGTTTCCTACTGGATGCTTAAAAATGTTTTCTTTCCATCAGGGCTTGGGGGTCTGGTAAGAAAAGCTTCTGCACTAGATGTAGAGGGAAGATAAATGTCAGTCACACACACCTAGGTTCTGCTCACAGGTGAACTTTTTCTTAATAATGTGTATTTTTTTCTGATGATAAAGTAAATAAACAATCATTACAGGAAATTTGGAAGATATAGCAAAGTAGAAGGGAAAAACATTGCCAATAAGCAAGTACCCGAAGTAACTTTTGTCAGTATTCCAGTGTATTTTCTTCCAATTATTTTCTTGGTATTATTTGCACATTTATGATCAATCTGTGACAATTTTGTCCCTTGCTTACTTTCCTCAACATAAATATTTTCTGATACATTTGAGACTTTTCATGGGCACCCCCTTTGCATAGGCGTGGTAAGTGTCCTAGCTCCTTTATGGTGGTGCTCAGTATTAGGCTGAGTTTAACAAGTTCTACTGTAAACATGATCTGAAGAACATCCTTGTATATAAATCTTTCTCAGGCTGACCTCAGTTGTAGAACACTTGCTTCACATGCATGAAGCTCTAAATTTGAGCTATGGCACTTGGAAAGAAAACTTTTTCAGGTTGTTTTTTAGTTTGTTTTTTTTTTTTTTTGGCTTTTCTCTGGTACCGGGAACCGAACTCACGACCTTGTGCTTTCCAGGCAGGCCCTTTTGCCGCTGAGCTAAATCCCCAGCCCGTGGTTTTTAGGTATTAAAATTCTTAGGCCTCAGATTACAGTACTTGGTATAATGTTTTGTTGTTTTCTTGATGACTTTTCTAGTTATACTCTCCTATAACCACTACAGAATACCTATTTGATTACTGCTCTGCCAGCATGGAGTATCTGTAAGAAGGAAAGTTTTTAAATTTGAAAGATGAAAAATGGTATACTATTTTAATCTACACAATGATCATGTGTTTTAAAATTTTTTTGGTACTGGGAGTCGAACTCAGGACCTTGCCAGACAGGTGCTTATGCCACTGAGTTACATCCCTGACCCACAATGATCATATTTAATGTGGCTAAATTTTTGTTTGTTTTTGGTAGTGCTGAGGATCAAACCTGGGGCCTCGTATTTGCTTGACAAGCATTCTACTACTGAGCTAACCCCTGAGGCCCAATAGAACTTTGTAAAGGTGATTAGTAACCATCTGTATTTACTCTCTCAAGGATTGTGCTCCCCTGCCTAGAATCTTGCCATGTAGTTCAGGCTGGCCTTGAACTGGCAGCAATCCTCCTGTCTTAGTCTCCCAAGTCCTGGGATTACAGGCATGTGCCACCAGGTCTGGTTAGAATTTATTTTCATCTTTTTTGCTCATTTACTGACTGTTTTATCCTTATGAGCTATGACAAAGACACTTACTTTTTTTCCTGATACATATGTTATGAATAATTTTAAATAATTTGTCATTTCCTTTTTAATTTGGACACTTTTTTTTTTTAGACAGGGTCTCTCTTTTGTAGTCTGGCCTCGAACTTGTACTGATCCTCCTGCTTCAGCCTCCCTAAATCCTGGGATTATAGAAATGTGCCACCATGCTGGGCTTGGTCACCTTTTAGAACTCTTTAAGTTTTAAACTTTTTATGTGGCCAAATCTACATATTTTTTTTTTTTTTTTTGAGGTTTTCTATTGCTTGTGAGGTTAGAGTCCTTCTCCATCCAAATCAATTAAATAACTGCCTATATCAGCATTTGGGAGGCTGAGGCAGAAAAATCACTGTGAGTTCAAGGCCAGCCTGGGCTACATAGTGAGTTCAACCCCAGCCTGAACTATGTAGTGAGACCCTATCTCCAAAAATACTGCCTATAATTTATTCTAGGTTTTTCATGTTTGGTTTGCTTTACTTTGCTTTTAACACAGTTAAGTAGTTACTCTATTTGGAATTTGTTACTTTAAAATGGTTAAAGTACCAAACTGATTTTTCCTCTCTAAGTAGCTAACTAATTACCCCAATACCATTTACTGAGTAATAAATCTTTCCCCTCGTGGGTTAATCTAAAGAAAGACTATACCTGCTATTCTACAATTGCACAGCTTCCAGGTTTTACCCTAAACTGATCACTTACACTGAGACACTGAGGTGAGATGTTTTACTGACTTGGCTTCCAGTCACTGAAGCAAGGAAATGAAATAAAGAAAAGTTATCTTCTTCAAAGATTCAAATAAAAGATAGCAAATTGTATTCAAATCCAAAACAATCATCCCTTTGTTCTGCTTGGGGAAGTTCCAGAGCTGGACCCCACTGGAGTGCTCCACAAGCAGATGGCTCTAGGAATGTAAATATTAACTGGACACCAAGTTCCCAAGGAAGGCAAGGGAGGCTTTAGTGTCGAGTATTCAACTTGCTGTTGTGTTACTGGCTGTTTGAGCATGTCACAATCTCAGCCAAGCTACTCAATCCTTCAGCATGCTCAGATTTAGTTCCTTGCCGTAGTGCCACGTAGAAAAGGTGAGAACACTCAAAAAGGCAGAGCCCAGCGAGAACACTAGCACACATTTGCATCAGAGGGGCCCTGGTGCTGAGCCCAACTTACTGAATGCTCTTCAGAGTCAGACGTCTGGGATGAAATGATGGGGTTAAAGCTGGTTGGGGACAAGGGACCCAATTTTTTCCTCATGGCTCGGATCTGAAGCAGTGCCCGAAAGGCTGGGAAGAAGAAAACAGGCCATCAGGACATCCTGCTGCAGGATTAAGGGTGGACAAAAGCCCAGACAGAAACAATGATCCCCCCGACATTCATTGGTTTGCTGATCCAGCAGTGACATGCGTCTTGATGTTCCGCAAAGTCCTTCCCACACTCGCACTTGCTTTCCCCACCTGGCACAGGACTTACGCAGCCGGCAGATGGGGCAGTTGTTGGCCTGGTAGCGCAGGGTGTCTGCACAAGTGTTACAGAGGCAGAGGTGGCGGCAGGGCAGGATCAAGGTGTCCCGGACATCTGAGAGACACACCACACACTCTGCACTGTTATCGCTTACTTCGTCCTCGGCCACCTAGCCAAGGAGATAGAAATGCAGCCAGTGACACAAAGGCCTCCTCGACTGACAAGGCAGCTTGGCTGGGAGCTGACAGAGGTAATGAGGATGGAACCCACATGGACACAGGACATTCCCTTGCCCCAGCTCTCTCACTGGCTGGTTCCACTGATTCTGAAGCTGAGAACAGGGACTAACTCCCAGGCTCATCCTCTGAGGCCCAGTGCCGGCCCTGGGACAGTGTGAGCTGAGGGGACCCAGGGGTCCCTGCAGATCAAGGTGAAAGGGAAAAACAAATCCAACCTAGCTTATTTTTCTCATTTCCATACTGACAGAAGCATGGTGACCTGAAATGAGGAATATGAAACACCCTCTAGGACCTGCTGACTCCAGAGGTTGGCTGGCTGAGTTCCTCCATCCTGGCTTCTCATCTTGCCTCCTAGAAAGAGCATGTTCAAAACTTTGCATGAAACTTACCTTCGAATCTTGTGTGTTGTACTTGTTTTCAATTCCGTAGATCTCCTGAAGGAGGTAGCTAACCCCATCTACCTGAACAGCAAACAGAGAAGTTCAAGGACAGGCTGATTCTACTGAGACACAAGATGGACCCCCACCCAACCACAGTTACCCACGACTACTGATTCACAAGGTAAAACCCAAAGGCCTAGACAAGTAAGGAATACTTTTATTTACTTATGTTTTCTCTTTGAGAGAGGAAAGAAAATCAGATGTTTAACTGACCCACCATTACATCCAACAAGAAACATAAAATTGCACAAGTGCAACAATAATACTTGTACAGCAGCTCGCTGCTATGGACAGTTATGAAAGGGTTACACTAGGAAGAGGACAGAAGGGTGTGTGTTGAGATGTAAGCCTTAGTTTTGTAAGAAGATTTCAGCTCAGAAGTTTTAAAAATAAAGGAAATGAGAGAGAGAAAAAGAGAGAGAGAGAGGACACAAGGAAAAAGGAGAGGCAAGTGGCGCACATCCCCTTTGAAGCGACATGCAGCAAAGTTACCCCTTTGGGCCTGTTTCTTAGACCCTGCCAACACCCTCTCCCATGTCTATGCTGGCCCTTCCCCATGCCCGTTAGGAGCCCACTCCTCCCTTCTGCCTCATCTTTGTCCCCAGCATTCCCCTCCTCACAGACCTAGCCTGGTTCTGACTTTATCTCCCTCTCTTCGATGTGACAGTCTGCTGCCAGAGCAAATCTAGCAACAGGAAAATAGATAAAATACCTTCCTGTAACTACTCTAGTCTTTTTATCATATACAGGCCTCCCCAGGAGGCAACTCACCAAGGTCAGGCCTGACTGGGTAGTGGCCTGAGCTTAGGATCTGTGGCAGCCTTGCCTCTCTTAAAATTTGTTCTAACCTAACAATTATATTGAAAAGGACATTATTAACTATTATACTATAGTGTGATTGACTATTCCTGACCTTATTGTAAGGGCAGCAAGCACTTAACCTAAAAGAATAAATAGGATAGAATTTCAGCTGTCTATCACCCATCTGCAAGGCGGAAGGGCTTGTATCTCAATAAAGGCCAGCCTTGCCTCCCTCTACATGAGATGACCTCTCCTCCACCATCCTCCCTTGCCAAGGTCTTTCTTTTTGGAGATAGGGCTTCATTCTGCAGTTCAGGCTGTCCTTGAACTCATTTTGTAGCCCAAGCTGGCCTAGAACTCACAGCGATCCTGTCTCAGCCTCTTGAGTGCTGGAATTACAGGCGTGCACCATGCCCAGTTTTGTGTGTGTGTGTGCACGTGTGAGCCAAGGCCTTTGACACTGCTCTCACCATCCATGACATCTCCTCCTACCTCTGCAAGAGTGGAGAGAAAAATGCTGGCACCAGGGAGATGAGGCCTTCCAGCAGCCAGACAGACCTTGTTACCCTTTCTGGAAGGGGCAAATGGCCAGCATGCTGAACTTTAGAAAGGAACGGTGGGAAAAACTGAGCTCTAACTGACCCTGAATTGGACCCCAATACTTTGTCCTTTTGCTTGAAATGTTTCTCACCCTGACATTTAAAATAAAGAGTTCTCCCTAAACCTAATGTCGGGGGACAAATCTTGTCCTTTCATTTTGCAATCCTTTGCTCAGTTAACCGCTGCCTCAAAATCAATAATTCTAGAACAATAAAAACACCAAAAATAGGAATCCTTTCAGGCCACCCACATAGATGCTAACACATAAAAGCATTCCCTTTTTAATTTTTTTTCTTGTTTAAAAAGAAAGAGAAGGGAAAGAAGACTGCTTAGCAAAAAGTAAAGAAAAAAGAACAAGAGAAAAAGAGGGAGAAAGGGAAGGAGGAGGGGCCAAGAGTCCCTGGGCCTCAATACTTACTACTTGTTTCTGTTTGAGGGGCTTGACACAGAAAGTCCCATCTGTGTGCTGGAAGGAAAGCAGGACAATTATGTGTGACAGAAAGGGAGGGCAGAAAGGAACACCACACTCTTGTTACCTCCCTCAATTACATGTGATATTGGACACTCGCAGAGCGTAATGATGGGATCCTGATACTACAAGGGTCTTACAATGGTCCAACCTAACCCTCTCATTTTAGGAAGAGGAGACTGAGGCCTAAAGGGGTCAGGCAGCAAGATGATGGTAGAGCTGGACCCTGCCCAAGCACGCACGGCCCCATGTAATGCTCATTTAACACTACCCAGCCTCTCAAACTAGACTATTCTGCTATGTTCACCCAGCAGATGAGAGTGTCCTGCAGGAAAGGAAGGGCTAAAGTCAGTTACCTTTTCAAAAGTACCCAGCAGCACATGGCAATGACCGAAATACTCTGAAAGAAACAAAGGCCCAGGATGAAGAAAGCCAAACACCCTTGATGCCCCTCTCTCCCCTCTTCCCACACATCTGGCAAAAGTCACACCAGGCTGCCAGCCGCAGGGGCACGTGCATAACCCACCACTTCATGTCTGCCCAAGCTGCTGGGGACCACAGGCATGAGGATGCGGACATTGTCTGAGGCCTGCAGAGCAGGTGTGTTGCGCTGGTGCCACAGCTTTTGCCAGGAGCGTGCCACAAAAGGGCAGTGCATATGCAAGGGAAGACAGAACTGCCCCTACCGTCCCCTTCATCCACCACGGCGTGCACCACCAAAGGGTAAACCTCTCGGTCCAGGTCAAAGCCAAGCTGCAGGGAAGAAAGGAAGAAAAGAGAAGACTGAACAGGTGGAAACGGCATAGCAATCCATTGAAAAGGAGGCACTGCCGTGAAGGGCTCATCGCTGCCCCTCGCTTAGCAACCTCACAGTCATCTGTGCAACTGAAGGCTATCAGTTTCTTTTTTATAAATCTCAGGGAATTAATGTCCTGCAGCTTCCCTGAGCACGGCTTTCTTAAAGCCATGTCCTAGGTTAACATGCTACTTTGGAATGGAGGAATTAACAAAGGCAGGGTGTCCAGGATGTGAGTAAGCAGAACTTATAAGGTGTGCAGAGGTCACAAGGCTAAATGGCAAGGATGGCCTTGGAGCATCTGCTGCTGGCCTAGGTCCTCAGTAACCCCAGGCCCCCTGCATCCCCATGTAGACACAGCTCACCTCTTCTTCAGCCCACTCCGAGGGGTCCACGGTGTGGGAGGGCAGACAGAACTGCTGGCATACCCCTCGCTTGTAGTGCACGGTCTCCGACTGCAGGCTATCGTCCTTTGGAATATAGCTGTGGAGAATGTGGGAAGCAAAGCGTGAAGTTAGAGTCTGTTAGTTTCCCCCACCTTGTGCCTGTTCCCATTTTCAGCTGGCTCTAGCACAAAAAAGACCTCCTTTCTCATTCATTTCTTTTGTTCTTTCCTGGTGATGTTATTAAACTTATATATTCAACCTACACACCCACAGAAAAGTAGCTAAGTAGGTTCTCTGACAGCATCTTCAGGACCTGAGGGATTATGCTGCTATCCGCCACTGTATCAAGACTGCACAGTCTGAAGGGACAAGATAAAATAGTGCTTTGTAAAAGAAAATCTAAATTCAAGAATCTTACCTCACCTATGTAATGCTCGTTTAACACTACCCAGATAGAAAAGGAACACTTTCCTCCATAGGTGTGTGTAGCGGACAAAAACCCAGCAGTTTGAGAAGGGGCAGCTCACCTGGCAATACCATTCTGGAACTCCTCAGTGGCCTGATAGTAGATGGTGATGGCTACCCGGGCATCCGTGTCGAAGATGAACTCGACATTGTAGTGAACTTTAGCTTTGCTGGCCTCTTCTCCAGGGCTCTTCACTTCCTCAGCACATCTAGGAAGCCACAAAAGAGGCAGCATATCAGGGTTTTAGGACATATTCTTTTTAAAAAACTTAACAATATGGGAGTTACAATAAATATTCCTCTTGAAAAAAATAAACTTAATATCATGTGTGCTTCTTTCCATGGTCTTTAACATATGTTTACATCTTCATTTTGAATGATCACAGCATACTGCCCTACCTTGCTATCCAACTATTTTGAAACTTGTTGGATTTGGTGTTTGTCTTAGTTATTGTGTCAAGATCCTGATCCTTGCAACTTAAAGAAGGAGAGGTTTGTTTTGGCTCACAGTTACAGTTCGTGGTCCGGGGGCGCCCAGACAGAAACAGCACTGGTAGGGGGGCAGAGTGGAGGAGAGCTGCTCACATCACATCGGGAAAGGACAGAGATGAAAAGGAGGAGCCAGGAGGGGACCCTTCCAGGTCCTGCCTCAGTAATCCACATCTTCAGAGCAGGCCCAACTCTTATCAGTAAGCCAGGTATGTCACCCCCATGATTCAGCTTTCAAAAGCTCTGCCTATGAGCACATGGAGCCTTTGGGGGACATTCTCCATCTAAACCATAAAAGTACTTAATGTATTCGGATGCAAAAATTTTGTCCTGGTACTCATCATTTGTTTGGTATTCTATACACAGGCTAGACCTTGTCAGATGTCCATTGCCTCACGATTGCCCCGCTTCTTGACAAAACAATTTGTTTGGTACTTGTTGGTTTTGGTACTCTTTGGTACTCTTTGTGTACTCTGCCACTCAGTACAACAAGTACTGAGGCACCACTGTATTCCATTATCATTACTGTTGAACATTAGGTTATTTTTGATATTTCACAGTCCTACGATTAACATCTTCATGCATTTGCCAGACCTTTGAAAAAAGTTTTTATTTTAATCAAGACTATTAATCACATACTTCAAATAGTTTCCACAAGGCTTGTTAAAAACCAGCAGGCTCTACTCCTTCCCTTTCCTCCTGGTTAGAGGAAACCTCTTCTAGCTGAGCGTTTTGGCAGTTAACCACAATCCTAAATAACACATTCAAGTTACTACTTCTTGACTTTCAGTTGTAGGCATTACCTACTGATTTCCTACTGTGGGACTGAGGATTTGTCCTGTTCCTCTGTCCCATACAGGAGCTCCACCATCCCCACAGTGTAGCCAGAACACCATTTTATTAGCACAGCACTTTAGTGTCTGTATTGCTATGATTATAAAAACATTATATTCAGTTTTAGCCATGGAAAAACTTAAAAATTTTTTTCTTTTCCTGCCTAATTTTTCCTTAATGTTAGTGCTGATCTTGCACTTTTTGGTTGTTTCATTTTGTATGTACTCATCCCAAATTCCAACCCCAACTCTCTGCTGGCCATCTAAACCCTGAAGTGGTTCCGGTGCACCAGGTGGTCCATTCAGCTCGCCATCTTGAGGAGGTCCCTTTGGGAGCCCTCTGTCCTACTCCTACTCAGACTGAGGGCCTCGGCACCTGGTGCGCAGCCACCGTCCAGGCCTCCCTCCATCCTCCTGGGGCTCTCCGTGCCCTTGTCCCCTTGAAGCTCATGTTTCCTGCCTGCATCTCCCACCCCCCTCTTTCTTGGGTTACACTTTTGTTTTACTTTTTCATCTTCTCTTGCTTCGTGAAAAATGTGTGTTGGGGGGACAGATGTTTTGAGAGCTCCCATTTCTCATTCACACTTCATTAAAAGTTTGGCTGAGCAAATAAATAATTCTAGGTAATAAATACTTCTAAAAGGCATCTGAAAGCCTTCCTGCTATTTCTTTTGGCTCCCAGTGCTGCTCTCAAGAAGTGTAAAGTGGCTCCAATCGCTGACCCTTCTTCCTTTGAAGGCTCACAGTAGCCCCTCTTTAGCATCCCTTGTGCTGGCAACTGCCAGTCTCTTTCCATTTGGAAGTGTGTGCCCTTCGGTTCTGGGAAAGCTTTTTAAATTATGTATGTCACTGATGACTGCCTTTCTTCTACGTCTTCTGCTCTCTCTCTAGAACTGTTAGTTGGATGCTACATCTAAATAACACTGTTATTCATATCTTTCCATCACTGCTATTTTGCTCCACTTTCTAGTATATGTCAGTCTTGCTTCCTACTATTCTCTTGAACATTTTGTTTCTGTTACAGTTTCTTATGTAAGAGTCCTTTGGGTTTTCCTAAGTACTTCACGCCATCACATGCATGGAGCAAGAAGTGCTATCATCTCTTCTGTCTCCGAGGTTACTACTGATGGTTTCTTCTTCCTGTGGAGCTTTTCTTCCAATTGACTGTTTTGCTTTCAGGGTATTCTGCCACTGTCTTTCATGTTACAGCCATTCCTAACATATCTAAGAATCATGGGCTGCCTGCTCATGTTTAAGAAACTTAAAGCTGCTGATCAGAACTCTGATGAATGCAAAGAGGACTTGGGAACCTTGGGCCTCACACTCTGAGGTCTGACCTGGGCCTGCTGAGGAACCTCTCTCACTCCAGTCTCTCAGGTTTTCTGTCCATGCAGGTCTGATTCCCAGACATCCATCTTCCTATCTCCCTACAAGGCCTGCCTTTCAAGTTCTGCGAGCAGACTGAGAAGGCAGGGTAGAGGGTTTGAAATTTGCATAATCCCTTGTTTTTGCTGCTGAGTCTATCCCTGAGTTATCCCTGGGTTCCTTGAGTACTGAGGTCCTTTGTTGAGCTCTCCAGTGAGAATCATCTTCCAGACTTTTGCCACAGTACGGAAAGGGCTGCTCTGACTGTTATACAGGGGAGGAGACCTGACTACCTCTCAGGCAGACCCTCCTCCAATCTTCTTCGTTCTAGCCCTCCACACTGACTTCCAGAGGCCCAGCCAGGTCTTGAGTGTTTTGGGGATGACACAGGATAAAGGGAGTGATTCTCAACTCTTCCTTCTGTTGGCTCAGGACTCTGATATACTGGGTCTGCTAAGTTATTTGACATTTACCATCTGTTTCCAGCTTCTAACATTTTGTTGCTGTTACTCCTTTCCCATTCTTCCAATTCTTGTGATTTGTGCCTTTTCTTCTAAACACTTTTAAAAAAAATTCAGTGAGCTTTAGAGAAGAAGCAAATATTCAATCCTTCATCTTCACCTGGATTCTGAGAATCAGGATTTACTCTTTTCCAAGGGTTTCAGAAAAATAAAACAAGGACTAGTGTGTAGCTAAGTGGTAGAGTGCTTGCCTAGCAGGCACAAGGTGCTGGGTTTGCTCCTCAGAACCAAAACAAATAAATAAGCAAATAAAACACATTAACTCCTTCCACTGTAACAGCTACTGAACACCAGGTGTGCCCCCTTCTGTTATCTTATTCAGTTCTGACAACCACCATGAAAGGTAGGGTTGATGGTCACTTTACAGATGGGAAACCTAAAGCTCAGAAACTCACTCCAGCAAGCACATACAGTGCTGCGAAGCAAACTGGGCTTCTGCTTCCCAGGCCAGTTCTTCTGAGCAGCTGCTTCACTTTACCCTTGACCTGCAGCCTGGCTACCACTTCAAGGACCAGGACCTCACAGTGGCTCAGGCGCTTGAACCTGTCTCCATCAGATATGTGAACAGTCCATATTCACAAGGGAAACCAAGTGGGCGGAGTATTTGGCAGCTGGTAGGCTGCTGTGCTTAGTGACTCCCTATGAAGAGTGGACATTTGGTAGCAGACAAGGGGCTCCTCAGCTCCCTTTTCCCCAGAGCTGACTCCAGGGGTGGAGAGAAGCATCGTGAGGAAGAAGGAAGAGGAGGAGGAAATGATGATTAGTTACTTAGGGCTGGAGGAGGGGCTAGGGGGAAATGGCAGTGCCCAATAAAGGGTATGGGTTTTCATTTGGGGACAATTGAAATGTTCTAAAATTCTTTAAGATGACTTACAACTCTGTGAACAGATCTAAAAACACTGAAATGTACACTGTAAGTGGGTGAATTCTATGGCATGTGGACACTACCTCAATAATCTGGTGTATTAAATTATCAGCCAGAGTGCACACCTGTAATCCCAGCTACTTGGGAGGCTGAAGCAGGACAGCAAGTTTGAGGCCAGCCTGGGCAATTTAGCAAGACCTTATCTCAAAATATAGAAATAAAAGGGCTGGGACCGGGGATATAGCTCCGTGGCATAAGCGCTTCAAGCGCAAGGTCCTGAGTTTGATTCCTGGTACAAAAAAAGAAAAAGAAAAGAAATAAAAGGGCTGGGGATGTAACATGGTAGTAAAACAAGTCTGGGTTCAATCCTCAGCACCACACCCACCAGAAAGAACTTCCTAATATTAATAAGGCTGACCTCTAGCATAAAACAGACTCTGGGAATGTGTTCTAAGAAATTCACCATTAGGCAATTTTGTCATTGTGGGAACAGCATCTTCCTTGTCTGTTCATTGGACTCCGGTTTGTTCTAACTGAATTTGTCTCCCCAAGGAACCAGACAGCCATTGTGGACATATTGGTGTATGTGTATGTGTGTGTGGGGGGGGGCAGAATCAGATTAAAATTTACAGTATCTCATGATACCACAAAGAAGGTGAATATGGATGACAATACTGACAAGGAAGATCAACCACCAACCCAAGGCACTATGAGTTCCTTAGAGCAAAGGCACACGAAGTTAGGAATAAAACATAGGCTGGGTGTGGTGGTGCATTCCTGTAGTCCCAGCATTTAGGATGTACAGGCATGAGGATCACTGTGAGTTCAAGGCCAACCTGGATCACATAGTGAGACCCTGTATCAAAAACCCAATAAAATGAAATAAAATAAAATAAGCGATAAGAAAGATTTCATATTGCAAGTTTAAATACAGGTTTGTTAGGATGTCTGTAAAATTCCCCTTTTTCTCAATAGTTTTTCCTTTTTTAAATCCACAAAATAAGGCTTACATTGACCAACTCTAGGCAAATGAAAGTTCTTCCCATGAAATCTGAACAACAGGTGCAGAGGCTGAATCTAAACCAGCGCAGCACCTTGGCAGCACCCACAGCTTACATCCGTAAGGCCTAGGCAGCAGGCTCGGGGCCTGACAGAAGCTGCTCTGTGAGACCATGGACTGCCCCACAAGGAGGAGGGCATCTAGGACCTGGCCCAAGTCTCCAGGCCCCTGAGAACTTACTTGACAAGTCTCAGCGTGTCCTTTCGGATGTTGATCAGGCTTCTCAGTGTCTTCACAGGTTCTTGGGGAGGTGGGGCGGCATAAGGAAACTGCCAGAAACAAAGCAGGAGAAAGTATTGTGCTTATAAAGACCTACATCAGTCCTTCAACAGAATAGGGCTTCGCAGTTGACAAGAAACGGCCCTGTGAGGTGAGTGAGAAGGACCCACTCTCTTAACTCAATGAGAGACTAAGATTCTTACATATTGATTCAATCTGCTCAAGGTCACAGCTAGTGGGAGAACTGGGGATTGAATCTGGCATCAGAAGAGCTAGATTTATCTGCTTTTTCCATTACATTGAGCTTATTTGGGTCAGTGTTCAAAATTTGGAGAACTAATCAAAAACTCCTACTGATGTTCCAAATACCAAAGGATACACTGTGGCTGAGTTAATCACAAAAGGCTTTTCCATCTGACCTTAGACAACAGGGAACCAGACCTGCAAGCCCTTTCCTTCAGGGAAGCCATCAGGTATCCTGGGAATCTAGGGATTGCAAACAAAAGAGAACCTACAGAGCTGAGGCTTGCAAACAGTCAAAAAACTATTTCCTCTGTAACTGATCTATATAAAGCAGAGTTCTTTCATACATGAGCCAACCATCATTTGGGGGTCATCAGGTTTGTGGTATCTTCATCATTTACTATATACTTCCTAACTTTCCCCACTTGGACCTTTGGATTGAGGGTTCTGAGTTGATGACAATGAAAAATGGGGTGGAGATGTAGCTCAGGGGTATTGCTTAGTACATGCCAATAAGGGAGTAGGGTGGAAGAGTTAAAGAGAAACAGTACAAATTGTCAGCCTGGCATGGTGGTGCGTGTCTGTAATCCCAGCACTCCAGGAGGCTGAGGCAGGAGGATCACAAGTTTGAATCTAACTTGGGAAATTTGGAGAGACCCTGTTTCAAAATAAAATAAAAATTAGTAAGAAAAAGGGTTGGGAAAAAAAAAAGGGTTGGGGTATAGCTCAATGCAAAGACCCTGGGTTCAACTGCTGGTACTGCTAAAAAAGAAAAAAGTTACTGGGACTGCTTTGAGTAGATCAAGAGTGATATAAACTCTTCCCGGTATTATTATACTGTTATTTGGGCAAGACGATTTCTTACACATAAGGTCATGTATCACCTAGCGATGGGAATGTGTTCTAAGAAATTTGCCACTAGGCAATTTTGTCATGGTGGGAACAGCACAGAGTATACTTCCCAAAACTAAGAAGACTAAAACGTCACTAGGTGATATGAAACCACCAATGCATATATAGTCTGTTCTTGATTAAAACGTCATCATCCAGTGCATGACTACAACTGAGCTTCATAGCTGTGCAAACTGGGCTTTTCCTAGCTCAAGACAATTCTTCCTCCACACTGCTGCTATCAGAAAACAGGGCACCCATGTTGTAGTCCACTTGTGACTTTGCAGAGGTCAACTAGGTATGGCTGTTTTACTTGGAAAACAGAATTTAAAACAACAGGAACCTGACTTTATGTATTCAGTATGACTGCTGATAATTCAGACGTATGGAGGTGATTCTTGAGAAAGAGCGTGTGATCAAAGTGATCTGCATCCAGAATCTCACTTTGTGGACATTATATAGCAAGTCTTTACTTTTTCATTGATAAATTAAACATATATTCTTTCAAAAATGATAGCTACTCTAATGTCAAAGCATTACATGTTGAAGCAGAAAACTTAAAAAATACAAATTTTCACCCCTCTACAATACTAAAATTAACCCTACAGAACACATTTCTTCTGAAGCATCCCCTCCGACCTTCTCTGTATTTGCTACTCTTCTATCCTGCACATTCTACTATATAATCTCTTTTTCACCTAGCAAGACACAGTAAGAATTTCTAAAGTCTGTAATTGTGACACCACGCAGAGATAACTACCTACTTTATTTAATCAGGTCTGTATTATTCAATGTTTTAAGTTGGTTTTCCTTTTTTTCCTGACATAAATGTTGCAGTGAATATCCTTGTCCCCACATTCTGCATATTTGTTTGATTATTTCCTTGGGACAAATTCCTACAAGTGGAATTACTGGATCAAAGAGTAAGCATATTTTTAAGACTTTGAAAAACATTTTGCCAAATTGTTCAACACAAAGCTGACTCCAAAGCAGCTCTCCTATGAGCAGTGTACAGGAGGCTTTGATAGAGGAAAAGGGAAATTCTGGTCCAGATACCATCTGTGGCCCATTTCTCTACCCTTTGCTTCCTAGCCTGACAGACTAAAGGAATTTAAAATTATTTTAAAATAAGCTTAAGCAAAAAGTAATTAGGCAGGAAAATCTGACACAAATGCTGGTCTATTCTAAAGCCAAAATAAATGACTTTGGGATTAAAATATTTTTCTGGAGTAGCAAAGTTAATCACTTCATTTGTGCAGGTATTCAGGAGTTATCCATAACTCCTACCTGAGGTAGAGAGAGAGAGAAAAAAGATGGTTTATTTCCTTTATTCTTCACCTTTTCTCCTGAAAAAAGAAAACAAAAGGAGAGAGAAAAAAAAAAAAACTGCTCTCCATCCTACTTTGAACATTCCCTCAGTGAGAACTATGATGCTGGACACACATTTTTCAAGAAAGGGATCAATGGCATCAACTGTGAATAAGCCCGCTCTTACACGTTAGGGTCCCCCACCAGGAAAGGAAACCACTGAACATCTCTTCAGGAGATCCTCATCTTGTCGGCTCTCTTGATGGCCTTTCTTTTACTCATCAGCATCTATATATGCCACCTGGCATGGTGTAAGGACAGATTAAAAGTGGGAAAGGTAAGTCATACTCTCAGAAGCTGTGTTCAAAGGTAGATGACAATTCAAATAACTTTGACATCAGAGAGAGAGAGAAAGGGGCGGGAGGGAGAGGGAGAGGCAGAGAGAGTGAGAATGAAAGGGTAAAAAAAAGAAAGTGGCCACTTCTGAGTGAGTAACTGAATGGTTTCATAAAGTAGGCAGCATTTGATTTGAGATGTTAGAGGAAAAATGCAATTTGTGAATTCAGAGATGACAGAGAAGATGGAGGGAACAGAAGGATCACATGCAGACGTGTTAGACTGGGTTAGATCCTTAGCACCACAAAAATGCAACAATAACAATTTTTTTATTGACTGCTTACTATGTGTCAGGCACCATGCTAAGCTTTTCACATATCTGATCTTTGGAAAAACCCTGTGAGGTAGATATGGTGGCTCCCATTTTTTCTAGTAAGAAAACTGAAGTGGCAAAAGGACTGAATCTATTTAGGATGGATTTGACTTCGTTATACCAAAGCTGGTTAATAAATAAGTAACTTCTATTAAAAAAGAAAGAAAGAAAGAAAAGGGGTTGAACAGCTTCTCCAGAAGCCCTACTTTAGGAAGCAGAGCTGAAGTTTGAAGACATCCTCCCCCTCTGTCCAGTACCCTGTTATGCTCTTGGATGTAGCTTCTTAACCAGGAGAGATAAACTGTCCATGGATTAAACCACTGATTATTAAAAGATCTGAAAACACAAACTTATTCATTTTATCACTCTTTCTTTTTAAAAAAATCAAGACATTGGTGAAGCCAGGAATGGTTGCACACACCTGTATCCCCAGTACCCTGGAGGGTTGAGGCAGGAGAATCCCCAGATTGAGCCCAGCCTGGCAACTTAGTGACATTATCTCAAAATAAAAATTAAAAAAGGGATGGAGACGTAGCATAGTATGAAGGCCCTTGGTTTAATGTGAAGTGTTGAAAACCAAAAACAAATCAAAACACCAAAAATATTAGTGAACTCTTTTGCTTGTCTATAGTATCTCCTTAATACATATACCATTATTAGGTCGTATTTAAGACAGAAATATCTTATTTCAATTTAAGATGAGAAATTTCATTCATGTCCTAACAGCTAAGCGTGAAAAGAAAGCAAACTGATGTCTTCTTGGGACCAAGAAGACAAAGCTCAGGACCAACTTGGGACCAAGAAGACAAAGCTCAGGACCAATTTGGGCCCAGCACATCCTGAAGTAACCACTGCCCTGGCCCCTGCACACCGCACTAGAAACCCTTCCCTCAGTTCACATCTAAGATTCAGGAAGTAAATAGCGACAAGGAAGATAATGAAGTGTTTGCTCTATGAGGCAAGTACGCTGGCACCTCTGAGCCAGCAGATGGAAGCGGACCTCCCTGTCCCTCGCACACACCATGGCCCCCAGATGGTGGTGGGCTCAGGGGCTTATGGTCACTTTCCTGTTCTCAGGCATCACTCGACCACTCTCCATAATGGAGTCAGGCCTCAGATCAAGGCTAATAAGAACAAAGAATGGAATTTAGTCTGCTCAGGAGATGGTCACATATAGGACAAAAGCAAGGCTCACGTGTCCCCAATTTATTAGGTTAATCAAGGAATTCTGGCAAAAAAAAAAACCCTCTTAAATGGGGTAAAATTTGGGTAATTGGATGCCTTGCACATACCACAAAAAAAGGGAGGGAAGAAGAAAAGAAGAGAGAGGGAGAGAAGGAGAGAGAAAACGTAAGAAAACATATAACTGAGTAGCAGTGGTACCTCAGTTCATGAACTTAATTCTTTCTATGATTCTAGTAGCAATCTGAATTGGATAAGAACCAAATCAAATCTCCCCATAAGGTCACCATTGAACCTAACCAATGAATTTGATTCGGTTCATGTCCAGTTCAGTCTGTGACCAGAATTGTGGAAAAAATTAAGTTCATGAACCAAGGTGCCACTGTACTATATGCAATCACAGCATGTTTCTTTGGTCTTTTGGGGTTTCTTTTTGGGGCAGGGTCTCACTATGCAGTTCAGGCTGGCCTTGAACTCAGTAGGTAGCCCAGGCTGACCTCAAACTCACAGTGATCCTCTTGCCTCAGTCTCCCAAGTGCTGGAATTATAGGAATGTGGTATCATGCCTGGTCCTCACTTTCTTTACATATATGTGTTCCCTATTTTACTTTATTTTTAAAAATTATGGTAAATACACATAACATGAAATTTACCATCTTCACAATTTTCAAGCATACAGTTCAGTGGCATTAAATACAATCACATTTACATTGTGGT